ACATCCCGCAGCAGCGGGGAGGCAAACCCACATGGCCTTATTAGAAAGAAACAGGTTGACCTTTGTTTGAAACGAGTCCCAGGACAAACAGGCTTCCCAGCTCCTCAGAAAGGAAATCCAACAGCAGGAAAGGGCACAAATGCCTCTGCTCTGAAACATCCCAGCTGCTCCCTAAGCCACAGCCTGTGGGATGGCAGAAGCCCTGGGGAGAAGGAGCCGAGTCCTTTAGATCAACAAGAGCTCAGCCAGGACAGATCTGGGTCCCATCACTTCTCGGGCTGTAGTGCTCCGGTAATGCTGGCTGCAGCTGTGGAAAACACTGCCCTGTGCCAAGGCGAGCACAGCGTGAGCTGGACACAGAGTCCTGCTCCCCAGAGGAGTGCGGAAGAAGCCCTGTCCCTCAGCCGAGTCAGGCAGCTCCACCAGTTCCCACTCCTGCTCTCCGCAGGGAAGGAAGCTGTGCTGGAGTCGAGGCCGAGCGAAAGGAAGGGCCGTGTTTGCTGCTGAGCTCTCCCACGTGTCTGCTTCCAGGAGCCCGACTCTCTGGAGAGCCTCAGGAAGGGCCAGGGCAGGGCAGGGCTCCTCGCCCTCCCACTGCGCGGGCTGCGGGGTGGCACGGCAGAGATGCGTGCCGAAGGCTGCACCGCATGCACACACACACGCTCCCGGTGCCTGCGGGAGAGGCACGGTGAGCCCCTGGAAGACCTGTACGAAGGCAGATGGAGGCATTCCCGGGAGCAAATACCCCATTTATTATCATGACAGAGGAAAAAGCTTCAGCTGCATTCCTGGGAGGAACAAGGGGTGAGGGGAAAATGAAGTCCCTTTGCTGGGAGCCAGACAACCGGGAGATTTACGGAGGGGCAGGCAGACATAAACAAAGATGTGCTCAGCGGGACCTCGGCCATCCTGCAGCAGCCCTGAAGGGGAGCCGGAGGGAGGACCACTCACCTTGGTGGCAGTGAAGACAATGATGTGCTGGACGTCTCTCCAGGTGAGACACGGCCGCACCTGCAGCAATCCCGGCGGCAAGAGGGGCAGCGGCTGACGTCCCCGTGTGGCCCTCCGTGCAGCCCGTGCCCTTCTGCAAATCCCAGTCTGTCGTCACCTTCCAAGAAAGAGGAGAGACACCTCCTGTCAGGCCACCGTTTGCCACGCAGGTACTCAAGCAACCGGGCACGCAGCCCTGGCCCCGAGCCGTGGCCTCGCCAAGCCATCTCCACCGGCAGCCCCCCATGCTCAGCCTGCAACGCAACTGCCAGCAAAAGCCAAGCCCCGGGGACACAGGAGAGCGTGGCCCTCACACCATGCAAAGGGCACGAGAGACGTGAGCTCTGGGGCTCCCCACCATCACCCTGGACGCAGCCAAGAAATGAGCAGTGCCCAAGCACAGCGG